AGTAGAATTTTTAGGGTGCAAATTGAACATTCTTCTCAATATTTTATTATTAATTAAAAGCGTTTATTATTTTAATCAATTTTGTACTATTTAATTGGTACACCTGAAAGCTTTCAGCAGCTGTCAAATATACAACAATTCTGATATAGTGTGTACGTACCATAATAGAATTTTGTTCTAAATGTCATAAATCAATCATGTTTGAGTTACATAGTGAAATACAAGTCCATTGAATTTTTAATTGGTACATTTAGTATTCATTTATATCTGACTTTCCTGATATAATGTATAAATTGAGATATTTTTCTTCAAACTAAATAAAATAAAGCTTTCCGAGTGCCATGAATGAAATATTATCACCATTGACGACGGTAATCGAAATAAATGATGAATCCTCGAAACAAAATATATCTCTTCCCAAACTTACTAGGATTCTTTGAATTGTTGTTCGATCGATTCGAGCTAAAAAAATTATCGTCGTCGGCCGAAGGATCTTCGATCACTCATTTTATTTCCTTCGTGTTTTTTTTTCTTTATTGCTCCCGGATATTTGTCAATACTCTAAAGGCATTATTTCGATTGCATGATCCACGGCCGGAGAAAGCTGAAGTATCATCATCATCGTTCGTTGTTGTTATTTTTTTTTTATATTCATTTCTTCTTCGCTACTTGTTCTCTTCATTGTATCCAAGTCTGGACGATTCTAAACACTCGACGTAACGAGCTGCTGTTGCGAAAAGAAATTTTTTGCTTGATTTATCATGTGTTCGAGTAGAATTTGCATATGCCAAATGTACTACATCTGCTTTTCGGGTTGCGAGCGCCAAAGAAATGAAAAATATAAAATTGGATGTACATTTTCCTCAGGGTTTAATAATGCGGATTTACGACCCCTGAACCTCCGGGTCCGACTTACCTGATCAATACTGCCGTACTACTTATTTCGAGTGGAAATTGTGAGAAATTGTCTCCTTCAACGTCTAAACATTCGTCGTAACCCACGACTTCATTATTCACATCTAGAAAGTTCCTCATTAATTTTACTTATTCTAGACAAATCTGATTTATAGAATCAAATTCTACAACTTTTTTATTTCTTTGTTTGTTTGTAATATAAACATCTACATTTGGATTGTAGTAAACAAATTCTGAAATTGTCAGTAGAAATCTTAAATTTTGTGCTCGAATCAATCATGTATTGTTAATTCTCTGCTATTCGGGTACACGTTTTTCCTCTTGGGCAATCATCAATTACTTGTTTCTCTTCGCATGTTAAATTTCACCTGTACCTGTACCTGTACTTGGTTTCTTTATCCTCTCCATCCATCCGCCAGATGTTTAATTGCTCTTTGATTTTCCTTTACCTTACACTTTACGCGTATTATTTTTGTGTCTTTCTGTTTGTTTTTAATTGTAATCGAATGGAGCCAATCGTTTCTTGTTAGAAAAATAAGTACGTAATGGGTTTCTATTTAGTAATGCCACTTATATAATAACAATTTGTTTATTTTCTAACGTCTAAATACTGCATACGCAAGGATATCGACTTTCGACTCTTCGGAAATAGCTTTCCATTTCGCGAACACTTGGTATTCAGATTTGCAATTGTTCGTTCTCCTAGGTGTGCCCATATAATCTTAACTTAATCGAACTCAACGTAGAAAATCAATAGATTCCCTTCAAAAAAGAAAAAAAATATTGTCACTGTCAATTAAATTTTAACGTCAATATCGTAATTACTTCAGTTTATTTTTTGCTTAATTCAAGTAAAATAAAACTTAATAGAATATTTTCATTCAAATAATAACTGTCAATTAAATATAAACGTCAGTGTCATAATTACGTCATTTCACGTTATATAATTATGTCAATTATAGATTATTCGTATATACAATAAATAAAGGTTAGTTTTTCTCAATAATATTTGCTTAATTCAACTAGAATATCAATTACAAAGATTAAAACTTAATAAGATTCAATAAATAAAAAATGTTTTCTTTGAAACAATAATTGTCAATTAAATATAAACGTCAGTGTCATAGTTACGTCATTTCACGTTATATAATTATGTCAATTATAACATATTCGTATATACAATAAATAAAGGTTAGTTTTTATCAATCATATTTGCTTAATTCAACTACAATATCAATTATAAAGAATTTGCTATGAACTTAATAGGATTCAATGAATGAAAAATGTATTATTTGAAATAATAACTGTCAATTAAATATTAACGTCAGTATCATAGTTATGTCATTTCGTGTCTTACTTTAAATGTATTCCTATATACAATGAACGAATACATTCAAACAAATATATACTTAATTCAAGAAGTGAATGAATTTGAAAATGTGTGATCTTATTGCAGTGAACATAATTTTAATGAAAACAAAATAATAAGAGACAGTTGATAAAACAGTGTCATTTTAAATAATCTGCAATTTATATGTTCTCTTAGTACTTATACGAATTGACATAGAAGAAAAACAAGTTTTCTTTCAAAAAAATAAATGTCAATGTCAATTAAGTTAAACGCCAATATTATAATTACAATTTATGTTATATAATTTAGTCAGTTTAAACTTTTTTATGTATATAATACAAACAAACAGATTTTCATAAAATGTATGTGATCCTATTGTATTGAAAATAATTTTATTGAAAACATAATGATAAGAAACAGCTGATAATAGAGTGGCAATATACGATATTTGTACGTCATCTTGTTTTAATGATTATGATTTATATCTCATGAATCTCGTACGATTTTATTTCAGTTAATTGAATCGATTATCAATTTATTCATATCAGTTAATAGTGGGCTTTTGTCATTTTGTTCGAAATAAGAATATTTTCAATGTTTCGAAATATTTGCAATTAAATAAAAAATTTCAATGTTTTAAGTCTGAGCACTACTTGATACTTGACAAGTAACTTATTATAACGTAGAGTAAATGTAGAGTAAATATTTTAAATTATAATCTATAGATAAGTAATAATTAATATATCTACATTAAGTTGGTATACGTACAACAAGTATTTGTGTATAAATAACATTTAATTCATCAGTTAATTTACTCGTCGGAACAAATAAAAATATGTAATTAATAAGTATAAAGTTTTACTGCTATTCCATTCAAGTAATAATAGTTTATAACTACGTTTTATTGCTTAATAATAATTACGAGATGAATGTGAATTACGAAACATAAAATCTATGCGTAAAATGGAATGTGCGTCTTCTTATTTATTTTCAAATAAAACTCGCTTCATTTATTTCGCCCCGGGGTTAGAAGATTTCGACCGCCAAAAAAAAAAAAAATAAAAAAAATATGGAAAGTAAATTGTAATTGTACGTTGAGATGCATCGATATGTAAAAGAGTAGACCCAGGGCATGTCACATAAAGCAATAATAAGATTTCACCTGTTCTATATTGCAAACAAGAAAGAGAGAACGACACAATGTATCAACGGAAGGAGCGAACGAGAAAAACGGAGTAAGACCCCTATGGTTGTTATTCTCTATACAATTTAGTTACATAACGACCGCAAGAGATGCAAAACAATGAGCAATTGTTTTTTTTACCTCTAATTATTTTTTAGTGTCCTCTTGATGTTACCTCAATTACTAACGAGTAATATATATATTTGTTCATTTTAATTGAATGCAGTTTTTTGTTTGACAGGTGAAAATATTGAAACGTCAATTTTTGACTTACGACGTAAATGGTCGTAAAACGAATTTCATATAAAACAATGAAATATCACTTAATTAGTAAATAAATTTGATGAAAATAATGTAATTCTCATTGTCACTGTCATTCTCGTTGTCACATTATATTTATTGATGACATTAGAACATTTTATGTTTAAAATCATTTTTATTGAAACACAAACAATGAAGTTTAAATCTTCACCTTAAATCAATTTTTAACATCTTATAATTAATATATTTGATTATAATCTTAATTTATTTAAATTAAAGTAGAATAGAATATCTATAAAATTTATGACATTGACATTGTCATAACCGCAAAATAATAATTGTTTTAAATTTAATTTAACGCGTTTCGTACTAATTAGTGTTAATTAATTAATTGCACGAAATTGGGATATATTCGGCAGTGTTGGTACAAAGGAAACGAAATGTTCAATGTTTGTTGGGGTTTCGGCAAATAGTCCTGTAATTAATTAAAAGCACATACAGAGTGCTCATTAAATTACAATGGAAACACAACGCGTTTTATTGATTAACACGAACAATCCGTTAAATATTTAACATGTTACACCAGTTATTATTTACTATAACAAATCAATCCATCAAATATATTAAATGTTTTATTTAATGTTCAATTTTTTTTATTGAAATATTTATAATTAAAATATCTGTACTTGATTGAATCAATTTTATTTTTTTAAATATTCATAATAATGTTGGAAGATTAATTACTTATTGTTAATGAAAATTCCATACGTTTTTGTATGTGTTTTTTATTGCAAAACATTATTTGAGATTTATTTGAAGAAAAAGTCTTAAAGATATCGTTTATCGATAATAAATTAATATAAATTAGATAAATCTAATTGGAAATGGAAAGTATAGAAAATGTAATGTGATATATTTGTTAATAAATTGTGTGTGGAAATATGAATAATTCGATGATAATTTTCTATTCAACGGTTATGCGTGCCCCGTTATTTCGAAACGGTGAAAATTTGAAACGAATAATAGAATAAAAAAAATTGAAGAGAATAAATCAATTATTACGAGAACATAATCCGCGTCTTCTTCTTGTTGTTTCATTGTTCACGGAATCATTAATGAAACTGAAGAAGACCGAGCGCGCTTCCCACTAATTTCCCACTAAATAAGAAAGTCCCAATATAATGCAGGGAGAATGTAGCTAAATGCGTAAACATAAATGGGAGGGAAAGTTCTTTCCCAATGCGAATTGCCGAAACTATGGTTTCGCTATATAAGCGAGCGCTAAGAGCATCGTTTTGTTAATCAGCTACGAACTTGATGATGAGGTTTCAGGCTTTTTCTCTGGTGCGTCGTCCACGAGATAAATTATTAAAATGTACAATAAAAATATAAATGAATAATGTTCGTATTGTTGCAGATATTGATAGGATTCTTCTGCTCCACTTACACCCAACCGCACCATGTAGGGCTGAGGGTGAAGAGGTCACATTTTGAGTCCAGCGGATATTGGAGCAAAAAGTTGATATGGAAAACGGACTGGGTGAAGGAATGGAAGACGGAGAAGAAGCTGGTGTGGAAACCGGAGTGGAAGAAGCGGCAGGTGCCAATTTGGAAGGAAATCCAGGTTCCGGTTTGGAAGGAAATCCAGGTGCCGAGTACGAAGGTCGTGAATAAGCCGGTTTGGAAGGAAGTGCAAGTTCCGGCTTGGAAGGAAGTCCAGGTGCCGGTGTGGGAGGAGACGCAGGTTCCGGCCTGGAAGGAAATACAGATTCCCGCATGGGTCGAGATCCAGACGCCGGATTGGAAGGAAGTGCAGGTGCCGGATTGGAAGGAAATCCAAGTTCCGGATTGGAAGGAAATTCAAGTGCCGGACTGGAAGAAGGTGTGGAGACCGATCTGGAAAGAAATCCAAGTGCCAGCGTGGAAGGAGATTCAAGTGCCGGAATGGAAGCAAATCTGGGTGCCGGAATGGGTGAAGATGGGTTTGCACGGTGAGCATTTCCTGGGCAAAGATCATCACGGGAACGAGTACACAGCGCACGACATCTGGCGGAAGAAGTTAATCTGGAAACCGATCTGGAAGAAGATCTGGAGGAGCGAGAAGAAGCAGATTTGGCTGCCGCAGAAGAAGCTCGAATGGAAGCCCGAATGGAAGCAGATCTGGCGCACCGAGAAGAAGCAGATTTGGAGGACGGAGAAGAAGCAGATTTGGCGTGTCGAAAAGGTGAAGATCTGGAGAACAGAGAAGAAGCAAATCTGGAAGACCGATAAGAAACAAATTTGGGTTCCGAAGAAGCATCAGGTATGGAAATCGGAGAAGAAGCAGATATGGGTCAGCAAGAAGGAGTTGATCTGGAAGCAGGAGCATGTCCAAGTGTGGCACACGAAAAAAGTGCAGAAATGGGTGAACGACAAGAAGCTGATTTGGAAGGAGGAATGGAAGCAGATTTGGATACCGATTTGGAAGACGCGCGAGGTCCCGGTCTGGAAGAAGATCTCCAAGCCGATTTGGGAAAAGGTGTGGGTCTCCGTCCATCATGATCATCATCATCATCATTAGGAGAGAAAAAGAATCCCACCTCCGCGAAGACGGAAAAGCGCCAGTATTTAATTCAATCCTTTTTTTTAATTTGTATACTTCTTTCTTTCTGCCGTTCTTTTCGTGCTCATCATTAAAACTTTCTCTCGGCGTCGCATTATGTAACTCGCGCAAAGAGAGAGAGATGATTCGGATATCGAGGAGGAGTCGTGCACAACATACACATCATGCCCACCTTCCGTGTGAACCTACCGGACGAATCCTCCTGCAATTGGAAGGAAGAAGGTACACACGTCGCTTTCTCCAGAAAGGTCATTGCTTGACATACGCGGAAAACAACCCATTGTTAAAATGTTATTGTTAAATGTATATTATTTTTTTATATTAAATATTTTTGTATATAAACCAAATGCGAAATCTATTTCAATTTCCACGCATTTCCTCTTTTCGAACATTCCTTATATACGAAGAAAGTACGAATCCAACGAAATGAATCCTGCCGTAATCATTATCTATTGCGCAAACATTAATATCTCACCTTGACGAGATAATAAAAAAAAGTTACAGAACAAAAATACATAAAACGAGAAATTAAATGGTCATATTTAATTATTAATATACACTCCAAAAACAACAACATTCATAATATAAAAGCATAAAAAGTCTAAAATATTTGTATACTTATGATGATTGATCCACTGATTTATTTCTATAATATTTAGTTATATAATATGTACTATTTTAAATATAGAGTAATCATTATATGCAACCCAATACACAATTTCCACGTTAATATTCCTATCGTGATACAAATATACGTTATGTCCGATTAATATATGAAGAAAACAAGTAAATAATGAATGATTATTAAAATAATGTTTGAAAAAGAAAATTAGGGTCAATAGACTTTTACAAAGTCATAAATAATTGAAATAATCTTTTTTTTGTTACCTTTTTATTTTATATGATTATTACATTAATAGTTAGTATAATTATAAATAAAATTGTAATATTGTAATTAAGTAAAAAAAACACAACAATTAAAAAATAAATTAATTACAAAAAAAATTGAATATAACTTTGTTAAAATTCTTATGAATAAAAATCGTTATTTTCAAGATAAAACTGTATTATTTAACTAAGTGTTAAAGTTTTATTGTCTTGTTGGATTAACTCGGATCACCGGTGGTGATGTGACGTTGATAGTTTCGCGTCGTTGAAACTACGTGAAAGATAATGACTATGTAATTAGGAATACGATGACGGAAATTAATATTAAATTCGTATTTGATGAAGCGGCAGGAAGCAACGAACGCAAAACCAAATACAAAAAAAAAGGAAGAGCGTATCTGAGATGCGGGGAAAATCGCGACAGGAAGAGCGCAAAAGGTTAAGCAGAGATCAAATGATAATTGAAAATAAAATAATATTGAAAAGGTCATTTGAATCGTGCAATATCTAATTAGAAATTAATTAGAAATTTAAATAATAAAAAAGGTTTATTTTCATTGCAATACACGTAAACTTCCATTTACTTTCCATTGACACTGATAATGTCAAAAAAAACTATGCTCAAATATTGTTGTTTTGCATTTCAAAGGAATTCTAATTTGGTAATGTTCACAAACATTTGATATTAAGTCAAAACAAAGGTTAATTTTAGTTTTCTTTAGAATTGTTTAGTATTGTTTTCCAAGTTTTTTAATACAAATCCTCTACTTGAGGAAAATTGGTTACGTCGCTGTTGAAAGAAAAAACAAGAACAAATGTTGAAGTTGTTTGTTGTTATGGAAACAACAACTTTCAATGTCAAATATACTGGAGTGAAGTAGTCCTTGTGCAGTTTCGCAATGACCGAATTTTGTAAAAAACCAAAATATTCCGTGTCTCTTTATTGTTTTGTACACTTATCACCGTCGTCACCGTCTAATATTTGTGTTGGAAAATTTTACAGACTATTCACGTTTATTGTCTAATGTAATCCATGCAACGTTAAAAAGGACATTAACACAATAACCTACTACTTTGCATGCTTCATAATCATGATCATTTTAGTAAACTCATTTTAAAAAAATCATTTTCAAAAATCTTATAAGTTGAAAAAGTTTTGTTCTTCTGAAAAATTTGGAATACAAAACATATATATATATATAATTTGTAATTAGGATTTATGGCATATTTGTTACCATAGAAACCAACTTCTAAGATATTTGGTCCGACAGTTGTGACGTATTTGATAATCATTGAGTCTCTAGTAATTTGATCAAACATTTGCGACAATTTCTTAAAAAGTTAAAATTATTTGTAATAAAATTTAAAGATATTTTTAACATACTTTCTTACCGTTTAAATTAACAGATTAAAAAAAAGTTTGACAATTTTGACAAATATGTCAAAGTATTGATGTCATTGACATTGACGTTTATTTAAGTATTTTAGTTTTGATAATCTTTGAAATTAATGAATTATTGCTAATTCAATGTATAATTATTTCCTTCGTAATTAAAGAATGATTTCGAATACCGGTGTAATCCATTTTTAATGACGGGTTTTTGTACGCAAGAGCAACGAATCTATTATACCCGATCATTAATCCTTTTGTATGTAAATAGGAACTAACAGAACATCGTTTTCCTCGTTGAAAATGAAGACGTGTATAGTGTGCACGTTCGTACCGTTATTTACGTTTTGGGGATTCACCGGTTACTTAAGGAAACGCATCATCTGCACGCATTCACCAAACAGAGCGGAATTGATAACCGAAAATTGCATGATCTACTATTTGATCGCGGTTTTAGTTTTCAGCGCAATTTTTTCTATAACAATGTACGACGTCTACGATTATTTCACTTGCAACACAACATTCGAACTTATGGCTACGATCAATGTTGTCGCTGAAAACATGTACACTTTATCGACGCTGTTTACTATTGCTTTTGCTCACATCAACACGAATGTGAGGGTAAGAGAGTTGACGATGTTGAAGCTGATGAACGAAAATCGCGTTTATTATAACATCGAAAGCTTTTTCACGCGCAAGGAAATTAAGAAGCTTCAAGCGCAGATCTTCGTTTACGTGCATCTTGCGCCGCTCTTGATGAGCGTCTACATGATTTACGGAATCCTGTGCGAAGAAGTCTACAGCATTAAAAGCATCCTCTTAATTATAAAACACTTAATCAACTATCTAAGCTTAAGTATTATAGCTTCAACGTACCATTTCCAATTCATCATTTACAGGCAGCTGTTCAGAAAATGTTACAAACATATCAGTAAAATACTTAAACGAAGATCGTGCAAATCCTTCCAAGATCACACTTATAATTACATAAGCTTCAATCTGAGGAGGATCGTCAATTTGCACGGTTTAATCTATAAGAGCATTGGGCTTTTCGAGGATTTCACAGGAATCAACTTTGTGATCAACTTCATCATCATCATGACTTCCATTATTCTTCATTATTACATCGTCGCCGAGGCCATCCTCTCAACGCTATTGGATGCGGACAACTTCGAACAATTTGCGCAAATGTTCGTCAAATCCAACATGCTAATCTTCATTGGAACTTATGCCGTTTTAATGATGGGAAAACTCGTCACTCTGGTGAGTACTTTCTGCCCAATTAATTAACATACGCAGTTTCATTCGCATTGAGCGCAGCCAGTTTTCATTCAACGCTAATCTCACACATTCGAAATCAAGTGATTCACTTTCAAAATTTGAGTGAAACTCAGAGCCTTCTAAATCCATTGTTTGATACTCATTAGATACACAATTAATTGGATACTTTTACGTTTGCTTCATTTCTATTGATTCTAAAGAACTGAAGTAATGCTAACATCAATAATGAATCTATTACTATGATTAAATTAATATAAATGGAAAACTTAATAATTTCATCATATGAATTATTTAATTATATTAGAAAAGAAGCGTTAAAACGGCTGTTAATTAAGTCAATGAATACGATGTTTGTAATAAGTGTGTTGTGTGTTGCCTATATCGTTTGAGTGGTAAATTATATAATTCTGCAGTTGGACCTAATACCTAACAAAATAATTGTTAATTTAATATTTTAATCCTTTATTGATCGATTAAGTAATTTATGACCTCTTTGTTTGCATAATGTTATCATTAATATAATTGGAGCTTAATGATTGATTTATTCAAATTACATCAACGTGAGATTATATTCCACGATAATACAAAGAAACGATCTTCATTATAGAGTTAGGATCAAAGTAAATATTTGGATTTGCATTAGCTTTGTCATTAATAATTTATAAATAATTAGGTAATCTGATTCTGAAGCGAAAATAAAGAACTGAGAGAAAAAAATAGGAGTAAACATAAATAGAGTTTAGTTATATTTAAATATATGCGCTTGCAGTCTATTTTAAAATTAAAACAAGATGGTCGCACTGAGGAAGATCAAAATCAATGAGGATTGCGTGGTTTGCTCGAATTGGCCAATATTTTACCTTCTGGCCTTCACCGGTCTGACGCCCATGAAGATGAGGTGCGTCCACAGCGAGAGCAGCCCGTACTTCGTCGAATTCAAAGTATCGAAAATTGCTGTGTTCGTGAGCTCGTTGATTGCGATAATGATAATCTTCACTTCGATAGTAACACTTTACGACATACTCTTCGTCCCGTCCGAATTCAACACAGCTGCATTAATCAAATTCGTGACGGACACTTTGAACAACGTCTTCGCCATCTTCATAATAACATTCTCGCTGTTGAACACTCATATCAAAATCGACGAGCAATACGGATTGACCGCAATCATGGATCAAAAACGTTACTACCATTTGGACGTGGTCGTGGATATTTCAATGGCAAAGAACGTCGTTGTTAAATCTTTCGTTTACTCCGCTATAGTCGTATTTTATATTATCATTTACAGCTGTTACGTTATCGTGAGCTTCGATAGATTCGATTTGGTCTTCATGCAAAGACTCACTTTCTTATTCGTTAATTACATCGAGCTTTGCATCATATTCGGTATATCGATACAGTGCTTGTTCTACGATCAAATTTACAAGAAGTCTTTCGAAGCGATCAAATCTTCGCTGAGAGCCAAAGAAATGAACGTCTGCATTTTGGATAAAGTCAAATTGCACATCAGTTATCGAACCAAGTTTTATACGGCCGTTTTCGTTAATTGGAAGTATTTGGCTTCGAGTTACAATCCTACAACTTTGATCAGTGTTTTATGCTCGGTTTCCGGTTTGATCATGAACGT